GCTTTAAAGAAGCAGTCTCGGAATCAAGGAACACCATGAAGATGGCGAAACTCGGCCATTCACCATGATACCTCTTCCGCTGCCCGAGTATGTATGTGCGACCCCCAAACTCAACTCAAGGGTCATGCTTCATTCGATACCCCCGCACCGTTCCCAATTAATTTCAATTATTTTATTATATTTATTTTTCAATTATTATTTCTGCTCATAATCTCTCCATACTGCTGAACCACACTCTGAGGACCAAGTACACCCCTCCCCCGTTACACCAACTTAAAACTCTTTCGTTCACAAGTCCTCAAGAACGGTTGGCTTCCCTTGACAACCAAAACTGAGACTCCCCAGTGCCAAATATGTAAGAAGCTACCTCTCTCAAGCATAGGTGGGAGCACAGTGGCTGTCACTTTGCGCTGCCCGCAGCACAGTATTCGCCCTGTGCACCAGCCGTTTCGTCCTACTGGGCAAAATTCTAGACTTTGGCTGTTTCGAGAATAGCAAATCGGCCTCAGACATTTAAGACACAATCCGTGATTGCAGTCGGTAGATTAAAGGTTCAGATATGAATTGTAGTTACTAAGTGGGTCAATGAGGGGAGGTGGTCTAGTGGCAAGTGGCTTTCTTCTCATGCACCATTCCAGGGTCAAATCTCTGACTGATTCGCGCCCAGGCAGACGGAGCCTTCTACACTCGCTGGACCAGCGCCAAGTTGTACACCTGAAAGCCCTTCCAAATCATACAGCGCCCAACTAGCTACTGCAAATGTGAAGGGAAACGTGGGTGCTGTATCTCTAATTGAGATTAATCAACGAGGAATGCTTCATTCTTCGGCGAGTGAAAACAGGCCAGGTAGCAAAATTGTCAAAAACGCTAAAAATTGGGCCTTACTTTTGCAGTTCATTCGGCACATTAGACGAGAATGCGAAGAAAAAACAAGAGCACGATGAAGACAATAACAGAGACGAAGAATGAACCAATAGGAAATCTAACAAGGCGACTGAAACCCACGTTTTTCCCAATAGGGTCCAACCACTGCGTGGGGTTGTTACGGAGAGATTTGCCCTTGGCGCCCTCCGTCGTTCGATTCCGAGTCACGAAAATGGTACAGCCCCTCTTATTGAATACTCGGATAATCACAGTGAAAGACTTTGAGCTGGGTACGTTGTTCGCAGCCCGAAAACGCTTACGACTCTGCGAGCTTCCCCCGTGGGTCTTTTTCGAGTCGCGTCGTAATCCATGTTTCACCCCTACATCATCGTGTTTTGTCTCTGTCCAGCGGCATCCCAGACATGCCCTTTGTGCATTCTAATAGACATCTTCGGAGGAACATGAATAAAACCGTATTTGGAAGGACATGCTATAATGGCCAACGTGTGAAAATCGTGGGGAACATGTTGCTTGGGAGAGGCACATGATCCAGCACCCATCTCCTTTTAGAGCTACCTTAGGAAGTATTTCGCAGTAAGATCTAGATACGTCATGGCACGAAAAAACAGCTGTTTGGGGCGACTCCGTTCTGTGCAGCTCGTACGAGCCGCTCCGACCAAAAAGTCCAACT